ACCTTCAGGCTGTGCCCGAAGTGACTGGGTGCTCACGCGTGTGCAAACGCAGCCTTTGCCGTGTACACAGGCTGTCCCTGCAAGATTCTTCGTGTGCCCAGAGCAGATGACGTGTCACGCTGTTTCTTGGTGTCGCTTTATTCCGCGTAAGCTGTAGGAATCCAAATGGTTTGGCAAGGAAAGGAGTTTGTCCCACTTTCTGCACGCAGCGCAGCCAAGCACGTCTTTTCCATGTGTAGGACTGTGATTTTCTCAAAAGCTGAGGTAGTTTTGCTGCTCTTTCGTTCTGATGCTGCATACGTCACTGTAAGCGATTCTTCATTACAGGAGCGAGATGATCATTGTCGTAGAGGAAACGAGGAGCGAAAGCAGAGATACCCATCAGAACAAGAGCACAGGAGAGAGAGGAGTGGTGACAGAGATCGACACAGAGACCACTCGGACAGGAGGAAGAATCCAACTGAAAGGCCTGGAGTTCGAGGCCACGAACGAGAGAGGGATGTTCAGAACATCCGCGAGCAGCAAGCAGAGAGGGAGTTTTACAACGAGAGAAGACGAGAGCATCGACAAAATAACGAAGGCGGTGGTGCTCACCCGAATCCAGAACTCGGGCAGTCTGATAACAAACCCAAAGAAAAAGCTGCTGTAAAGAAAGAGAAGCCAAGCTTTGAACTGTCTGGTGCGCTTCTAGAGGATACCAACACCTTCCGAGGTGTTGTGATTAAGTACAGCGAGCCCCCCGAAGCTCGGATTCCAAAGAAGCGATGGCGCCTCTATCCTTTCAAGAACGATGAGTTTCTCCCGGTCATGTACATCCACAGGCAGAGTGCTTATCTTCTGGGCAGGCACCGCAGGATCGCCGATATTCCCATCGACCACCCCTCCTGCTCAAAGCAGCACGCTGTGTTTCAGTACCGGTACGTATTGCTCTGCCTGCAGCTGAAACGGGATCACGCAGTAACTCGTGAAGGGGGAAAAAATACACCCAAGCAAACAAACAAAAAGCCCTGCTTGTGCTCAGCTGAGAGTTACAGGTTTGCTTGTACACTAGAGAGAGGGGGAATTTATGTTTGACTGCTGCAGATCATCCTAGCAGTAATCAAAAATATCTGTAACTCCTCTCGTTTAACCACAAGCAGCCTTTTAGGAAGATAAGCAGCGCAGCAGGCTTGAGCACGGGGCTGCGTGTACGTCTGGGTTGGAATAAAGCAGCAGGTGTAATCGGCAGTAAAAGCATTTCAAGGAGAGATTGTTTTCCTTTCCTCTTTCGCAGCAAAGTGCTGATCTCCTCGGAAGCAGCAGGGGTTGCGTGCTGCTGGAGACAGATGCTCTCTTAGGGAGCAGCCGTCTGTTCCGTTGTAGGAATTACCGTGTTATATCATCAGAAGTTTAGAAGGTGATGC